AATAACATGAGATAACAAGGTGCAGAGCTGGATGAACACAGCAGGCCAAGCAGCATCAGAGGAGCAGGAAAGCTGACATTTCGGGCCTAGACCCTTTCTGAAGAAGGGTCTAGGCCCGAAGCGTCGGCTTTCCTGCTCCTCTGATGCTGCTTGGCCTGCTGTGTTCATCCAGCTCTGCACCTTGTTATCTCAGATTCTCCAGCATCTGCAGTTCCTACTATAACTGGAATAACATGATAGGTATAAGAGGCGCATGCTGAGGGTCTAACCAAAGTCATAAGTAATCCAAAACTGTACAAACTAATTAAGATAGAGCGATTAGGGGCAGCACAGTAGCTCAGAGATAGTAGGAACTGCAGATGCTGGAGAATCCGAGATAACAAGGTGTAGAGCTGGATGAACACAGCAGGCCAAGCAGCATCAGAGGAGCAGGAGAGCTGACATTTCGGGCCTAGACCCTTCTTCAGAAATGGGGGAGCGGAAGGGGGTTCTGAAATAAATAGGGAGAGAGGGGGAGGCAGATAGAAGATGGATAGAGGAAAAGATAGGTGGAGAGGAGACAGACAGGTCAAAGAGGTACGGATGGAGCCAATAAAGGTGAGTGTAGGTGGGGAGTTAGGGAGAGGATAGGTCAGTCCAGGGAGGACGGACAGGTCAAGGGGGCGGGATGAGGTTTGTAGGTAGGAGATGGGGGTGGGGCTTGAGGTGGGAGGAGGGGATAGGTGGGAGGAAGGACAGGTTAGGGAGGCAGGAACAAGCTGGGCTGGTTTTGGGATGTGGTAGGGGGCAGGGAGATATTGAAGCTAGTGAAGTCCACATTGATACCATTGAGCTGCAGGGTTCCCAGGCAGAATATGAGGTGCTGTTCCTACAACCTTCAGGTGGCATCGTTGTGGCACTGCAGGAGGCCCAGGATGGACACGTCGTCTGAGGAATGGGAGGGGGAGTTGAAATGGTTCACGACTGGGAGGTGCAGTTGTTTAGTGCGAACCGAGTGTAGGTGTTCCGCAAAGCGGTCCCCAAGCCTCTGCTTGGTTTCCCCGATGTAGAGGAGGCCACAATGGGAACAGCGGAGACAGTATACCACATTAGCAGATGTGCAGGTGGACATCTGCTTGAATGTGGAAAGTTTTCTTGGGGCCTGGGATGGGGGTGAGGTGTAGGGGCAGGCGTAGCCCTTCCTGCGGTTGCAAGGAAAAGTGCCGGGTGTGGTGGGGCTGGAGGGGAGTGTGGAGAGGACAAGGGAGTCACGGAGAGAGTGGTCCCTCCGGAAAGCAGGTAAAGGTGGGGAGGGAAAAATGTCTTTGGTGGTGGGGTCAGATTGCAGATGGCGGAAGTGTCGGAGGATGATGCGTTGGATCCGGAGGTTGGTGGGGTGGTACGTGAGGACGAGGGGGATTCTGTTTTGGTTGTTATTGCGGGGAGGGGGTGTGAGGGATGAGTTGTGGGAAATGCGGGAGACACAGTCGAGGGCGTTCTCGACCACTGAGCGGGGGGAAGTTGCGGTCCTTGAAAAACGAGGACATCTGAGATGTACGGGAGTGGGATGCCTTATTCTACTCCCACGGTGAGACATTCCACTTCTGCTCCCAGGATGAGGCATTCCACTCCCGTACATCTCAGATGTCCTCGTTTAGCACAGTAGCTCAATGGCTAGCATTGCTGCCTCACAGTGCCAGGGACCTGGGTTCAATTCCAGCCCCACGCAACTTTATGGAGCTTGCACATCCTCCCAGTATCTGTGTGGGTTTCCTCCAGGTGATCTGGTTCCTCCCACAGTCCAAAGATGTGCAGATTAGGTAGATTAGCTATGCTAAATTGCCCAAAGTGTCTTGGGTGGGAAATGCAGGAACAGAGTAGGGAGTGGGTCGGGTTGGGATGCTCTTCCGAGAGTCGGTGTGGATTCGATGGGCTAAATAGCCTGTTTCCACACTGTAGGGATTCTATAAGATTCTATATGGAACTTGGCCATCAGTTTCTGCTTGGCAATTCTGCGTTGTTATGTATTTTGAAAGCAGCCTTGGAGGACGCTGCAATTCTGCATTGTTCTGTATCTTGAAAGCTGTCTTGGAGAACATTTACCTGAAGATCGGATGCTAAGAGTCCTTGACCGCTCAAGTATTCCCTGACTGGGAGGGAATATTCCTGTCTGGCGATTGTCGCGTGGTGCCCATTCATCTGTTGGCGTAGCATCTGCATGGTCTCACCATGCCTTGGGGCATCCTTGCATGCAGCGTAGAAGATAGACAACATTGGCTAAGTCACGTGAGTAACTGCCATGTATGTGGTGGGTGGTGTTCCCATGTGTGATGGTAGTATCCATGCTGATGATCTGACATGTCTTGCAGAGGTTGCTGTAGCAGGGTTGTGTGCTGTTGTGGTCAATGTTCTCCTGTAGGCAGGGTAGTTTGCTGCAAATGAAAGTCTGTTTAAGGTTTGGTGGTTGTTTGAAGACGAGGTGGTGGTGCAGGGATGATCTCGGTGAGATGCTTGTCATCATTGATAACATGTTGAAGGCTGCAAAGAATATGGCACAATCTCTCTGCTCAGGGGAAGTACTGGACAACGAAGGATACTCTATCAGTCGTATCCTGTGTCTGCCTTCTGAGGAGGTCGTTGTGCTTGTTTGCTGGTTGGAGTTTCGCCATTATGTGGCATGTCTGGCAAAAATTCAGATCTTCATGTAATCCTGGCTAATAAAACTGATAACTAAAACCAAACTTGTTTGTTAAGTATCCGAGTAGGTTGCATAACACAACTCCCTAAATTCAGGATCTACCTGCTGTATTTCTTCTACAGTGGTTTCTTTGACTACAACTTCTCCATTTATTAAATCACCCTATAATCCAAGTCTTTATAACGGGATTGATTTGTAATCTCTGTGCTTGCGGCTAATTAATATTTTTCTCCATCATTAACCCCTCTGGAAAACAAATTGTAACGTTAATCAGCACCAATGACTAACTTACTCCAGTGTCTCGCAATATCTCTGTTTACCTCCTTGAATTGCAGGAAAAAAAAGTAATTAACTCTAGCATACCCAGTTTTATTACAACAGTAGCATATAATTTTCTTCACATCACTTTTAGCTGCTGGTAACTCGGCCTTATTATTTTGGCGTCCTTCTGCTTGCTGCCTCAAACTAATACCTTTTCCATCTCTGGCTTTTCTATTCCTCCAATGTTGGTTCCCACATCACTATTTCCCCACCAGTAATTGTCTGTGTGAGATATCATAGCTAGCTGCCAGAACTGCTGCTTCTTAGATTTTTGATACCTGACCCATAATCAAAATATGTTTATAAGAGCTGCCAGGATACAATTCCAGTGTTCTTCTGGAGTCATACTTGCCCTCACATTCTCAAAATTTGTCTTTAACTTCAGTGATTGAAACCACTGATCCCACAGGATTTCTCTTTTCTCTTGCAAATTCAACAAATTGCTTATTATCACTTATTCAGCTTTTCTTCTGTCCAAGCCTGCAATCCATAATCTGCTTGTTTACCTACCCCTTTCATATCTCTCTCTCTCTCGGCTCCGCCTCCACCTATCTACTCACCTCTCCCTTTCCCCACATCAGCTTTAGCATAAATACATTTTTCCCAGCTACCCATGGGTGTAATGAAGAGTCATTGAACTCGAAACGATAACTTTGCTTTTCTCCCCCCACAGTTGTTGCCAGACCTGCTGAGTTTCTCCAGCAATTTTGTTTTGACAAATATTCGATTGTATTTCTTTCTTAGATTCTAAATTTTAAATGTTAACCTTTAAGGACAAGCTAGATCTCCCAATGGGTTACTATACATTAAATCTCAAGGCAGTGCCATGAGCAGAATCAACCTAGCTGATTTAAAATACAGATACTTTCTAACTAGCCTGTTCAGAGATGTTATTACACATGTCTGGAGCAGATGGTGCTTGAACACAGAAATCCTGGCTCAGGATTAGACACCACCACTGCATGTCAAGGGCCCTACTCTGAATTAAAATACAAATAAAACCTAGCAGTTAACTGATAACCAGAATTAATGTGTGGATTCTTCATAGCAATGGCTCTACCAATCAGATCCCACTTGTCACGCAAATAGCAGTCTCTTTTCGAGCAATACAAGTCTTCATTTTTCCTTTGATTGGTGATCTTGCAAATTGTTCTGAAGAGTACAAGATGAAAGCTCCAACAAAATGTGTCTTTTTCAGCAAAAGTGTAGAAAAGCAGCCTCAAGTCTGCAGAGACTGCAAGTTTTGTGGTGCCTGTGGAGTAAATTTAAAAACGACTCATGGTTGTCAGACTTTTGTTTTGACAAAGTCTGGATAATGCATCAAAAGATTGGAACAGAGCCAGAAATTGGAATTGAACAGTGTACAGTCTCCAGTATTCAGAGCTGCAGCTGGACTAATCTACTCAACCAGTGAAGGCTACGTAGGAGGGAATATCAACAAAGTCACTGACCAGATAGAACACCCCCGTGCAAGGTTAGCTGTAGACTTGGTGATTTATAAACCAAGCAGATATATACCAAGAAGTGGTGTACAATTTTGGGGAGGTGGCAAGTACAATTTTCAGTTACTTATGCCATAATAAAGTTGTCTTTTTTTCATTCTTTTGATTTATTTATATATAGACACACACAAACTGCTTTCTTCTCATTTATTTTAAATGTTTATAATTTTCAATAACTATTTAATGAAATTGTTGTTTAAACATATTATTTGGTATTGAGTCACTCATTCCTTCTATATCCAAAATACAGTCCAAAGCACATTCAGAGGACAGTCCAAACTGGAGTGAGACTTCACAAGGGACTCTTCCACTACACATATCACTAATATTTTGCAAATACAATTAGACTGCAAACAATCCAATTTGAGCTGGTAGAAGTTTTCACCTCAATACTATCTGCAACCTGCTTGCAGTTACTAAATGTAAAATCATTTAATGTTTTTTGATTTTGTTTTACAAACTTGTAAGAATTTAAAAGGAACAAGGAAAAACAAACAAAAATCATTGGAAGAAATAGCTTTATAAGAATTAAAGACAAAAAAAGACCTTATAATCTCAGCATAGACAGCTTAAGAAAAAGATACATCAGCCTAACATAACCAAATGGTTGCCAGGCACTTCCTATAAACATACAACAATATTGTTAGAAAAAAAACTATTTACAAAATGTTTTTCTTCAATTTTAATCTCAGTCCCTTTTAAACATAAGCTCGCCAACAAAACAAAAATCTGCTTGAGAATCTGGAACCTGTGTTTAGATATACTCTCAAAGTTGTAAATAATAAATGGACTTTGCAATTAGTCTGTTATCCCACTATGTCCAATAATTAATTCAAAAGTCCAATACACAACTCTGACAGCTAAATACATCTCACATAGTTAAAGAAAGTCATATCACAGCAAACAAAAGTTACAGTAAATCCAGTGTATGTATCCCATTCATACAGATGTTTATTGTCTGCACACTGATAGTGTATTTTAAGTAACAAGAATTTACTTTCTGGCATTCAAAACAGCAGTTCCGACTAATGCACCAGAATTTAATGGCACTGTTAGAAGAGCTTTAACTCTAAACCCAAAATATAAAAAGTCATATTTTTCACCTATTCTACAGGGAAGGAACATTTTAAGAGCAAATTCTCTGCCCATTGAAAATATCTCTGTAACAAATAAAGCACTGTAAACTAGTTGGTGCTTTAGCTAATAAACTTCAAGTCCTTAATTGAAACCACAAGCCCTCTTCAATAATGATTTGCCAGATGAGAAGCTAAACATATTTGAGGTACTATTCATGTACACTCAATGGGAGTGCAGATATCTGAAACTTTTGGTCTTTATGCATCCCATCCCTTTAATTAAATAGTAGATTATAATGCAGCACCTTTTACCTGATCCAAAGGTTCTCTCATTATGACTCCCAGTGACAAGCTCAATATATTTCTATTGGGCCCAGCATTCTACTAAAATTTTACTTTTGGCCATTATTCACATCTGAGTCTGAACCCTGAGTGTCAATGGGGTATATGATAGTGTAGGTCATTAGGGTAAAAGACCACACTGTACTAGATATATTGGAATCACTGGTAGCAATCATGAGAGAAAGCTGGGCTAATTTTTCTCCTCCCTAACTAACAGTGAAGCTTATTACGGTGCTCAATCAAATCAAAACTTCAAATCCCACACAGGTCACTCACCAAAGACCAGGGTCCTTCTTGATTTATACAGCTCAAAGCAGTGCAATATAGGCTATTTGCTAATTGAGCCATAGGGCTACTATTCGTATTGAATAAAAATTTTAAAACTCCTGTCCCTTATAACCAGCACTTGAAGAATTCATTGAAATTTAGGCCACCAATGATTATTTTCACATATTTTCTAAAAAGTCACATTTACAGTCAGGTAGTATGAAGAACCAGCTAATCTTTTCATGTCCAATGTGCTTCTAGATTTGAATGTTCATAAACAAATAGGCTGGTTTGTCTACCAAGTGTTTATATTATGGCAAAGATTTGAATCATAAAACACTCAATAGAAAAAAAAATTAATACAGTTAAGGGCTAATGAACAGGAACTTTGAATCTAGGATACCAAATTTAAATAACTGTGAGGCAGTGACAGATTAAGGGTTTAGACCCAACTGAAATACAAGATTTGATTCTTGAATCCAATTATTGGCTCATAAGCTGAAATTCCAAAAAGCTGTCAATAACTACTTTTGAGTTTTTCAAAATCATCTCTAGTTTACCGTTTGAAATAAAAGGAAGCAAAACTGGCAGAGAAAAGACATAGCATTGTTCTGGAACATGTTGCACAGCTGCTTTTTGTAATTCTGCAGAAATTAGTTGTTACATGAGCAAGTATAATTAGCAATCAGGTCACATTTCTAAACTGCCATTTTGGAAAACAAAAACCTTTAGCAAGCAGCTTGAGAGATATGCATCTTTAGATTTAGATCAAGGGTACTGCCATAATAGTAATTTTATAATCGCTCCACTTCAAGCCTTCCCCCACAACATACAAAGGACTCAATACCATATTGGTTGTACTACCAAGAAAGTGTGGAAGACTCAAAAGAGCATGCAGAACTTGTTTTCACGATTCAAGCTTCTCAATTTTGTGGTAAAGCCTGCAGCAATAAAAGCAAGCTTAGTACAATATTGCTACCCATCACAGCTGATCTCAAGTTTTTAATGTACAGTTGCCTTGGCCCATAAATCCACAGCTTAATCAAAAGTGGTGAATGCCTTACAAAAGCACTGCAGCTTCAGTCACAGTCACCCTACGTTTTAGTTTGGTGTTAAAATGAGGAATCATCAGCTCTTTCAGTGTGCTCTTTAGTACGTTTTCTGACACAATCCTTTAAGTAATCTCCACAATCATTCACCACAGCCTTCTCAAATGTTTTACTACTGCTTTCTTTTGCTTGTGAGCACAGATCATCTTCAGTTTCATTATCCTCTTCCTGAAACTGCCAATCCTTTGGCTTCAATAGCTTGGTTGGTGGCATTTTTTCTTTTCAAAAAAAAAACAGTTGTAAAATTTCCACTCAAAAAAATTGAAGACATAAAATCACGGTATTAAGGGAAAACAAAAGTTGTATTTGATTATAATACAATACAACCATAGGTTTCATGCAATGTGTTGTTCCAAACTCTGAAATTTCTTATACGCGAATATCATTGCTTGTGTGCAATAATCCCACATGATTCCATTGTCTTTAACCTATCCTTAGTTTCATGTGGAGGTTTCCTTCTCCTTTTCTTCACTTAGCCTCCACATTGAGCAACTCCTCATCCGCTGTGATAGTCATCTCAACTCACCATGGTTTTTATTTCTCTCTGATTTCACTACCACTTCCTCATCCTTCCATATTTAATTTTCTTGTTTTTCACAGCCATCCCTCTCTCTGCCATCTGGACTGGGCTCTGTACTCACATATCCTTATCTGTGATTGTGATTTTCATCTATTATTACTGCATATTTCTCAACAGTGCTTTTGATCTACTCACTCATAAGTACCTTTGATGTCTTATCCTGCACAGAATATTTATTCTCCACCACCCTGTTATATCCATTAGCTTCACTCCTTCAAGTACAAGGGGTGCAGACATGAACATATCTAGCGCACACTCTATTATTCTGGCTACATGAAGTGCCACTTACGCCTTATTTCCCTCTGTCAAAACTGCTCATCACTCTGGGATCACCCTGGAGAGCAAAAACAAATCTGGCTTCTTTCCTTCACCATCATCTCATTATTTAACCCCTTCTCTTCTGCATTCTCCATAAATGCAAAGAGTGTGACTTAAGATTAAGATTGAGGCTACCCAATAAAATCAAAACACTGCAGATGCTGGAAAATTGAAACAAACACAGAAAATGCTGAAGAAACTCTGGTCTCGTAGAATCTGTGGATAAAGAAACACAATTAATGATTTGAGTCCAATATGACTCTTCATCAATACTGAGTTCTAAAGAAGAGTCATACTGAACTTGAAACATTAACTCTATTTCACTCTCCACAGATGCTGCCAGACCTGCTGAGGTCACCCAAAAATTTACTTCATGGAGTATCATACAGTCATAGTAGAATGTAACATAGATGTTACGTTCTCACTTTCCTCTGCCCACCAAACTAAATCTACCCCAAGGTTCATTGCAATTATGTCCCTGATTCTGCATTTCCTACAACTATCTCTGCTAAGTCTATTCTTTAAGCTGCAAGTGGTTTTAAGACCAGAACAGGCTGTTGTTAAAAAAAATTCTGTTATGGCTGCTGCTGGAGATGAAAATGGCACATTCAGTTAATCTAAACAATTGATTCTCAATACTTGTTGTAAAAAACCATTGTATTGTACTGAATTTTCATGATGTGAGATTTAAAAAGTGCTGGTTGTTAGCTGTGTGCTTACCAAGGGTGATGAGACACATGCACTTTTTCCTCCTTTGGAATATAATGGGAAAGTGCAAGAAGGATGAGGAGGCAGACATCAACCTATTGAACCATGTCACAAACGCTCCTGCTACAGTCAAGAAATCGAGAGGTGAAACCAGAGCCCGAGGCTTCTGGTTTAGAGGCAGGAATGCTACAAAGAGCCACAATGCCTTCACTGGTGTAGGGATTGGGAACAAAGTGCTCGAGGGAGAAATAAAATGAAGGGTGCAATGAGTGAGTAACAACAAGTGGAGATGATGGTAATGAAACAATTGCAATAGGTTCAAATCTTAAGTGGTAAAAATACAATAATCTTGGCTGCCTAAACCTAAATGCTACGATTAGAGAACATTGAATGATATTCATAATGGAGCCATAAGATAACTAAATCTGAAAGATAATCAATCTTCAAAACCAATTTCCTCTAGTGAACTTACACAAACATTATGAACTTGTGACTATAGCGTACAAAGTCACAAAGATTACTGCAATTATTTTAAACAGAAAAGATTAACTCACTTTGGGAACAATGTGGTTGTTGTCTATATCGTCGAGATGGCAACACACAGTCTGCCACAAAGACCAGAATCTAAAATAAAGCAGATTTTTATAAAACTCAATCTAACAAGCAATTATCGTCAAATGTTTACATTGGTGAACCACAAGAAAAGTTAACCACTTTTTAACTATGTAGTTCACTTTCTCCTCAACAAGATAGCACTCTGGCTTGGAGTCTGTACAAATTTGTTTGACCATTTCCTTACAGGATAATTGGTACGCCACAATTTAACTGCATTCAATGATATTCAAGACTTCATTTGCATTGCTGAAGTGTTGCAATCCAAGACAGGCCTGCTTCTGCCACATAGCGTGGTTTGTTGACTAATATCCTCTGTCCACGTTGCAAATTGGAACGATAACATATGATTGACTATGCACGAATGCAAAGAGATACTTGTTTCTTACAATCAGGCTGGGACCTGCACCATTTTTAGGGAAATACACAGACAGCCTATTTCGAGGCTGGCTGAGGCCCACAATTTCAGTCATTTATAGCGAGACTGTGCTGAAGTTGGCAACCTTTAATAAATTGTGTACACAGCACCCAAGATAAAACATCAGAGACAACTATGCAAAGCAAATGGGGTTGAAAGTTGATTCCAAATTATTTAAATACTTTGTAAAGTAAACTTTTTTATTTCCAGTGAGATGAGCGATTCACATGACAAAGGAAATGCTAAAAACACATTCTCCTCTCAATTCCAGTCACAGCCAAAAATCAAACAAATGTAAGTCTGACATCAGTTCACTGCGACAATTAAGTTCTTCAATGTTAAGATGCTTATTTCTGATATGAATGGTAACATCATAATTATATAAACATGCGAAACCCCAGGAACAAAGCAGAAACACAGTACGTTTATCATCAACACAACACAGTGTGGTGCTGAAAGAGCACAGCAGGCCAGGCAGCATCAGAGGTGCAGGAAAATTCACGTTTCGGGTCAGGACGCTTCTTCAGAAATGGGTGAGGGGGAAGGGAGCTGGGAAATAAATAGAGGGAGGAGGGGTGGGGCTGGGGAAAGGTAGGTAGGATGGTGATAGGTGACTGCAGGTAAGGAGTGGTGGGGACTGGTCAGTGAGGCGGAAGAAAAGATGGACAGGTTGTGTCAGGAAAAGGAGGCGGGGATGAGAGGGAGGGCTGATCATGGGATAAGGCCGGGGTTAGGGAGATTTTGAAACTGGTAAAGTCCACATTTAGGCCATTGGGTTGTAGGCTCCTGTGGCAGAATATGAGGTGCTGCTCCTCTAGTTTCCGGGTGACATCACTGTGACACTGCAGGAGGCCCAGGATGGACATGTTGCCCAGGAAGTGGGAGGGGGAGTTGAAATGGTTCGCGACCGGAAGGTGGTGTTGTTTGTCGCGAACAGAGCACAGATGCTCTACAAAATGGTCTCCAAGCCTCCACTTGGGAGCAGCGGATGCAGTAGACCACACTGGCGGATGTGCAGGTGAACTTCCGTCTGATGTGAAAGGTTTGACTGGTGCCTTGAATGGAGGTGAAGGGGGAGGTGTAGTGTCAGGTGTAGCACTTCCTGCAGTTGCAGGGAAAGATGCCAGGGACGGTGGGGCGAGTGGGGAGTGTAGAGCAGACAAGGGAGTAGAAAGCGGTCTCTACGAAAGGCAGACAGGGGTGCGGAGGGAAATATATCTTTGGTTGTGGGTTCGGACTGTAGGTGGCGGAAAATGACACGTTGGATATGGAGGTTAGTCGGGTGATATGTGAGGACAAGGGGGATTCTGTCTTTGTTTTTGTTGGGGGGAGGGGATGTGAGGGCAGAGATGCGATCGAGAGCATTGTCAATCACTGAAGTGGGGGGATGTTGCGGTCCTTGAAGTAAGAGGACATCTGGGAATGCCCCATCTTGGGAGCGGACGCAGCGGAGGTGGAGGAATTGGGAGTAGGGGAATCGCATTCTTGCAGGAAGGTGGCGAGAGGAGCTTGAACAGTTCATCAACTTTACTAACACTTTTCACCCCAACCTCAAGTTCAACTGGACCTTCTCTGATACCTCTCTCTCCTTCCTGGAACTCTCCATCTCTGGTGACCACTTCGAAATCGACATTTCAAGCCCACCAACTCTCACAGCTACCTAGACTACACCTCCTCTCACCCATTTCAACTGTCACCCAAGGAATGGGAGTGGTATGTCCATCCTGGGCCTCCTCCAGTGTCACAATGATGCCACCCGGAAACTGGAAGAGCAGCACTTCATTATTCCACCTTGGGAGCCTACAGCCCAATGGCCTAAATGTGGGCTTTACCAGTTTCAAAATCTCTCCACCCACACCTCATCCTATGACTAACCCTCCCTCACTTCCCCGCCTCCTTGACCTGACACAACCTGTCCATCTTCTCTCCCACTTATCCGCTCCTCCCACCTCACTGACCAAGCCCCATCGCTCCCAACCTGCGCTCACCTATCACCATCTCACCTACCTTCCCCAGTCCCACCCCTTCTCTCTCTATTTACTTCAGAGCCCCCTTCCCCCTCCCCCATTTCTGAAGAAGGGTCCCGACCCAAAATGTGAACTTTCCAGCTCCTCTGATGCTGCCTGGCCTGCTGTGCTCCTCCAGCTCCACAATGTGTTATCTCTGACTCCAGCATTGGCAGTTCTTACTATCTCTGAGTGATGTTTATCATCAACTCTTTCACTTATAATTTAGTTCTGTAGACAATTTATTGACATAATTTTCAGCAATGATTTGAAAACATTTTGCAAATCTGAATGATGTCTTAAAAGAATGATCTGTGAAAAGCAAATTAGTAAATCTTACCAATCCAAGTGCAAGACCAGAAACAAGCGTTATCAAAGCAAAAATGCTATATGATCCCCAAACTGGTATGCCAATAATTTCCGTGAAGTAATTGTGACAATGCTGAAAAATAAACAAACATGCCAATGCAATTCAAAGTTGCAACCATAATCCATCAAAGAACATAGCTAAATCAGTTAGTGGCAACGACAGGTAAGCTGTCAGAACATGACGTAGAAAATAAGGCCCCCAACACCACGGCACAACACAACTACGTCAATATGGGAAACAAGAGCAGTAGGATGCCTGGATCCCAAAACTATGGAGTTATTTTTTAAATAATTTGTATTGCTAAAGAGCAGCATATCATCAAAAAGAGCCATGCATTTAACACAGAAAATACAATCATTTCAGTTATAGTCTTGATCGTTCCTGTTAACAAGTTAACAAAATAGGGAGAGGCCAATTGTTTTTAAATATCAACTACAGTTCACCAAAATATTTCTTGCAATTCACATAATTACTATTTTGTAGCCTTCAACTGAAATATTTTATACCAATAATAATATAAATTGGTACATGGTTGGGAGAAGAATGGTGAGGTACAATAAAGGGGAATATTCTCTGATTGATGGGATGTGACAAGTGCTGTTCCTCACATCTGCACTCAGGCCTCAGCATTACACTATGTTTTATAACAATGGGCAACATAATATGTGCAGATTGTGCTTATAGTGTGGAAGCATGAGATTATCGACTTCACATCCTTTAATGACAAATCAGGATATTTTTTAAATGGCAAGATACTAGGAGGAGAAGAGATTTGAGCCGTCCATGCACACAAATCATTAAAATGTAGTGCACAGGTACAAAAAAATCCAGATTGTAATAACTATGATTCAGCATTAAATAGCACAACTCTTAACAGTGCAATCAAAATTTTTAAAAACTTACACGAATCCACATTGACAGCTGAAATAATGCTGACATGCTAGTCATCCTGCAATGAAAATTAAAACAAGGATATGAGTAATTGTCATTCTGGATTAAAACATTTTAGAAAGAAAATGTTTATAGTTAGTCATCCAACTTGAACATACTTAGAAAAAATACAAAAGTTTGAAAGGATAACTTCAAGTTCCAATAGCATTAATGGCTTTTGGACTTGAGATTGATTAAAAGGAATGTAGACCAATTACCAAACACATCTTATCTGAAAAAGGTTGAGATTGATAAATTAGTTGGTCAAACTAAATATTCTTTTTTAAAAAAGGTGAAAGAAATGCGGATTCTAGAAATCAGGAACAAAAACAGAAATTGCTGGAAAAACTCAGGTCTGGTAACATCCGAGGAGAAAAATCAGAGCCAATGTTTTGGGTCCAGTGACTCTTCTTCACAACTAAATATTCTCTTAGTCCTTCTACACGGTCATATAATTACAGAAATTCTATTTGTAATAACATTCATTTGAATTCCACTAGTGAAAAGCTATCAATTATGAACGCTGAGAATAACAAAGCATTCAATATTATGCATAAGCTCCTAAATTCCATCCAAAAACACCAACTTTTACAGGGAACAGCTTCTGGTGAAAAATATATCTCCCATCAAATTTCATTAAACAATTAATGCTCTTACGTAATTACAGATCAGACACATGGATGTAATGATGGTATACCACAAGATAACTCTAAAGGGACATTGTATTCACTTCTTTCCAGATGAATGCAAAGTATATGCCCTTGGAAGCTGACTCACGATTGCACTCAAACATTTATTGTCCTCTATTGTAAGAAAGAATCAGGCACTATTAATTAAGAGATAGTAGGAACTGCAGATGCTGGAGAATCCGAGACAACAAGGTGCAGGGCTGGATGAACACAGCAGGCCAAGCAGCATCATAGGAGCAGAGAGGCTGACGTTTCGGGCCTAGACCCTTCATCAGAAAAGGGGGAGGGGAAGGGGGTTTTGAAATAAATAGGGA